GCATGTATATACAATAATTTGACCACTGAGGAAGGCCAAAATGCGGTTTAATGTGGTTCAAGGTTATCAACCTAGATATATTGAATTATTGGTCCTGCTTTATTGGTTTCAAGGCTTTCAACCTAGAAATATCGAAATGTGCCAGGTTATATAGATTCAGGTCTTCCTAGTTCAAATATTTGCCACTCCCAGCGCGGATTGTGCCAATTTCAAATTTCATTTCAGTGCACTTCGTAATAAATATGTATATTTTCTTCATTTATTTCTCTAAATATTTTTTCTCTCACCCAGCCTTTGGGTACCCAACTCTGGAATCCATATAGGCCACTGTTCTGTCTCTAGCAGTTGCCAACTTACCAGGTGGAGGAAGATCGGCCTGCTCTTGCGCCTTAAATAGCAGCTTGATGCACAGAAACTGGCAGAGAGAGTTTTAATAACGTTATAGCCGGGAGTACGGTAATGCTTTTGAATGCCTGTGGCTTCCAGTTGCCCACAGACATAAGATCTTGTCTCTGACGTTCTGTTCTGCCGGCCGCAGGATTAGGTAGCCAGCCAAAATTTGATTTTCCCAGTGTTCCTGGCAAGCTCTCAAAGAAGGCACAGAAAGAACAGTCTAGGTCGCGATGAGCAAATATTCCTGATAGAGCCGTAGATCACCTAGCGAGGGGTGTTTTAAATTCAGAACCAGAGAGAAATTCCATCAGGAATTTTACTGTGCTTGATCTGTGTTTGTGTCGAGCCGTTAAAAGGATTTTTCCTATAAAATTGCGTTCAGCCTACGTAAAGTAATATTTTAAAACATACACGCAAACGAAATCAAGCATGTGTTAAATGAACTCAGAGTAGTGTTTTCAGGTCACAGAGGGTGTGATTCTAATCCATTTCGCGGCACGCTTCCACATTAGATGGAAAAATCTGCGGCTGGTTTTCTCAATGTTTTCGTTCGCAATGAAAAGCAGACGGGCCGGAGAAAGTTCGGCTGGAGTAGTTACGGGAACAGGAGGGGTTCACTGTGCCCTTGATGCCAGGGCCTTCCTGGAAACCCACACCATTTTAGTATGATGCTGGCAAAGCTAAGAAAATGAGGTGGGTTGACTTTGCACCCCCCCCCCAAGCTCCGGGGAAACGTTAGAGGTGTTGTGTTTCCAAAGTGCACACGGCTATCCTGCAGCACAGTTTAAATGAGCCCCTGCGGATTTGCCCAGGGACGCTCTTTATTTTGTTACCTTGGTATTAACGGAAATCAGGCGTTAACATGGCATTGAAAGAAGACAGGCACCATTATTCTCTTTGTCTTTACCCTACCAGGGCTAATAGCAGTTCTGTGTGCCTGATTCCTAATGATCCTTTTCACCAGCCAAAGTAAGCTGGTCTGCTGCCGTACAGATAGGGCGGCCAGCTCCTCCCTGGCCACCGGCGGGGGATTTGGGGGGGGGAGTCAGCTTGCCAGATCTAGGTTGGGAAACTCCTGGAGATTTGGGGGTGGAGACTAGAGATGTAAAATTCCTGGAAATTTTGAAGCTCGGAAAAAAAAACGGGTTTTTTCGGGGGGAAACGGAAATTTTCGGAAAAATTGAAAAAATGCCATATTAGCACTTCTTTTGTCTTTTCTAGATTGAAAGTCATTCTGTTACTTTAGGAACATAAAATATGACTACGGACATTTTTACTTGGCATGAAATTATCACAACTAGCATATTAAAAATATAGTGTATCCAAACAATTATTTCAAACAGAATACCCACCCACGTGCAGAAACAAAACTGAAACCTTTTTTATTTTCTTCTGACAATCGCACCTCCTAAAGGAAGAAATACATCTTGTTCTTGCATTGGAGAGTTCAGTTTGTAACCTAAGACTTGCTTGTCCTCAGTGCACAGAAATTAGATCAATCTGATCATATATATATGATTTGGAAAATATTTGAACACCTGGTCTTTTTTTTAATTTACATTTTTATTGGTTTTAACAAATAACAAGTAACATGTAAGTCTAATACATTAATGTAGTAACAACGTTTTTACAGAATGAAACTTTTCCAAATCCAAGTACAATACATCTATATTTCAAACAGACTTAACTGCAATGCTTAACAAATCATGCCATCTGAAGGTCTCTTGGTTCTGATATTTATGTTTCTATAGGCGAGTATAGTTCATGTATAAAATAATCTTATATAAGAAAGTTTTACGAGATATAGTCCATAATTGATCACTGAAGTGCAAGAACATTTATAACCATTTACACCTGGTCTTAAAATATTTTATTCATCATGTTAAAATAAAACGTTCCATAATCAATTTTTTTCCCCTTTTTTCAATTTTTCCAATTTTTTGGAAAAAAACCAAAAAGGCTTTAGGAAAAAAACCGGGTTTTTCCGGTTTTCTCCTGGGCCTTCACATCTCTAGTGGCGACTGGGGCCTCAGTGGGGTACAAGGCCACAGAGTCCACCCTCCAAAGCATCCCTTTCCTCCAGGGGACGTGATCTCTGTAGTTTGGAGATGAGCTGTCATTCCGGGGGATACCCCAGGTCCCACCAGGAGGCTGGCCTCCCTACTTATGGAGAAGATTCCCCTGTTCTTTCCGTTTGCGCGTTCCTCTCCTGCCCTCTGTTTCCAGCTGACCAACCCAACTGCGATCACACACACGAAATAGTCCACGCTCAGTGCACTTTCCAACTGGATTCTACTGTGTGAGCGGGCAAAATCCAGTTGGAAAGTGGATTGGATTATTTCGTGTCTGGTGGCCACAGCCCAATTTTTATCATCGGTAGTATGAATTAGGAGCTGTGGTGGCTCAAGTGGTTGAGACGCCAAACTGTAGACCGAAAGGTCGGTAGTTCGGCAGTTCGAGACCCGAGTGTGCCGCGTGACGGAGTGAGCTCCCGTCTCTGGTCCCAGCTCCTGCCAACCAAGGAGTTTGAAAGCAAGACATTGCAATTAGATAAATAGGTACCGCTTCGGTGGGAAGGTAACAGCGTTCCGTGCGCCTCGGTGTCTAGTCATGCCGGCCACATGACCACGGAGACGTCTTCGGACAGCGCTGGCTCTTCGGCTTGGAAACGGAGATGAGCACCGCAACCCTAGAGTCGGACTCGACTGGCTTTCGGGCAAGGGGGACCTAGTAGGAGTAATCATCATGTTAAAACACCGTAGCAATATCCTGAGTACCAATACTAATAATAGCAATTGTAATAATAATGATGACGATGTGGCAGAAAGCCAGCCAGAGATGGAGGGAGAAGGGGGCGTGGTGATGGAGGTGCGGTCGTTTGCACCTTCCTTTCCATGTTTTCCCAAAACTGCTTTGGGTACAGTCCTCCAGCAGAGATCATACAGGTTTGGGGGAAATTGCAGCGGAGCTGTGGGAAGCCCAGAGGGCTGGCAGAAGCAGTGAGCTTGAACCCCCCAGGGATGCTCACAAGCATATATCTGTACAAACAAGCCTTCAGAAGGGGTTTCTAATCCCATGCGAGTCTGATCAGTCCCTGAAACTCATCAACTAAGATTTCTTTAACAGCTTGACAGGCACTAATTCTAGTTAATAGCACTGTTAATTGGGAGAATCAACAGAATTACAGCGTGGGATGCCGTTGTCTCCTTATCAGCTGTCTCAAAAAAACACACACCCACCATATTATTTGGGAGGGGAAATTAGCTAGTTGTACGCAGGCAAAATGGGGCCATGGTGGCTCAGAGGTTAAGACGCTGAGCTGCAGACGGGAAGGTCGGTAGTTCGGCAGTTCGAGACCCGAGTGCCGCGTGACGGAGCGAGCACCCGTCTCTGGCCCCAGCTCCTGCCAACCTAGCAGTTCGAAAGCAAGAAATTGCAAGTAGAGAAATAGGTGCCGCTTCGGTGGGAAGGGAACAGCGTTCTGTGTGCCTTGATGTTTAGTCATGCCGGCCACATGACCACGGAAACATATTTGGACAGCGCTGGCTCTTCAGCTTGGAAGCGGAGATGAGCACCGCAACCCTAGAGTTGGATTCAGCTGGCTTTTGAACAAGGGAAACCTTTTCCTTTACCTTTCTGCAGGCAAAAGGGCCCAGGTTTCTGTCCCTGAACTTGTTTCCATTGCCCTGTTTTCACGATCTCCAAAACAAGTCAACGAATGTGAAAGAGAGCCTCCCTAAACATGGGCAAAGTGCCTGTTAGTTTCCACTGAGTTCAAGCCTTGGCAGGATTGACCGTCTGCACCTGTGTCATGTCCAAAACCATCCAGGGGCTACCCTAGGAACTGCTATCTTACGCTGAGCTTGTTGTGATGTCATGACATTGTGGGTAGAGCTAAGTAGACACCGCCCATTAGTCTCTCTTCCCCCTTGTGCCACCCTTATATATTATGCACAGCTTCTTCCAAGGGTGCAAAGTGGCAGACTAGGATTGGGGAGGCCCAGGTTTGAATCCCCACCTGGCCATGAAAGATTGCTGGGTGACCTCAGGGCAGTCACATACTCTCAGCCTAACCTACCTAGCGGGGTTGTTGTGAGGAGAAAATGGAGGTGAGAAGAATGATGTAAGCATTTTGGGTCCCAGCTGGGGAGGAAGGTGGTAGGAGCCAGTTTGGTGTAGTGGTTAGGAGCGCGGACTCTAGTCTGGGAGAACCGGGTTTGATTTCCCCACTCCTTCACATGCAGCTGCTGGGTGACCTTGGGTCAGTCACAAGTTATTTCAGAGCTGTTCTCTCAAGGGCAGTCCTCGAAAGAGCTCTCTCATCCCCACCTACCTCACAGGGTGTCTGTTGTGCGGAGAGGAAGGGGAAAGAGCTTGTAAGCCGCTCTGAGACTCCTCCGGGTTGTGAAGGGCGGGATATAAATCCAATCTCTTCTCTCTTCTACTTCTAAATGAATTACATAAGTCAGTGATGCAGCCCCGTAGCAGCACACAAGGGATAAATAGCACGTACCGTTTGTGAGGTGGGGGCGGTTAAAGAAATGTTGCTCTGTTTTAGCTTCCTCTGTAACAAAACTTTGGTGTTTTCCCCCACTCTTTCTTTAAAGGTCTGGCCGGAAGAAGAAGAAAACCCGAAAGTATGACATCATCACCACTCCGGCAGAACGGGTCGAGATGGCACCGTTGAACGAAGACGACGAGGAGGAGGAAGATTCCACAGTGTTTGATATCAAATACAGGTGATCTGGGCGTGGTTGCCAACTCCGGGTTGGGGATTTCAGGGAGATTTGGGGGTGGAGCTGGGGGGAGGGAATGGAGCTCTGCAAGAATGTGATGCCCCAGAGCCCCCGCCCCCCCCGCCAAAACTGCCGTTTTCTCCATTTTTTCTGTCGTCTGGAGATCCCTCGGAAATTTAATCCTGGGAGAACGCCGGGCCCCAACTGGAGATGATCAAGTTTATATCTGGGATCTATCCATTACCTCCTACAATCGGAGCGGCTCCTCGGCAGCCCATTTCAGGCACAGAACAAATCGATTTGCTTTTGCAGGGAGAGGCCAGGTTCATTGCCTGGGTTTCGTCCCCTTCTTGGATTTGCTCTCATCAATACACAAGTGAAATCCATGTCCTGACAACGCCGTACCAGGAGTAGCTTTTGAGCTAGCTCAGAAACAAGCTTTTTGCAGAGACTGGAAGGGAAACATAAGAACATAAGAGAAGCCAATGCTGGATCAGGCCAATGGCCCATCCAGTCCTACACTCTGTGTCACACCGTGGCCAAAAACACCAGGTGCCATCAGGAGGTCCAGCAGTGGGGCCAGGACATTAAAAGCCCTTCCACTGTTGACCCCCCCCCAAGCACCAAGAAGACAGAGCATCACCTGCTCCAGAACCCTTATCTATACCTTGTGTCTAATAGCCACTAATTCCCTTTTGAAGCCGTCCATGCTTGTAGCCGCCACCACTTCCTGTGGCAGTGAATTCCATGTGTTAATCACTCTTTGGGTGAAGAAGGACTTCCTTTTATCTGTTCTAACCCGACCGCTCAGCAATTTCATGGAGTGCCCACGAGTTCTTGTATTGTGAGAAAGGGAGAAAAGTACTTCTTTCTCGACCTGCTCTATCCCATGCATAATCTTATAAACCTCGAGGGAGGGATGCAGTTTTTAAAATTCAGCCTCGTTTCATCTTTCCTCCAGGGAGCTTAGGGCACCATATGTGCCTCCCCCCCGTTTTCTCCTCACAACAACCCTGCCAGGTAGGCCAGGCAGAGAGAAAAACAGACTGGGCCAAACTAACTCAGCTTCATGGCTGAGCTGGAGATTAGACTCCCAGTTTGGTGTAGTGGCTAGGAACGCGGACTCTAATCCAGGAGAACCGGGTTTGATTTCCCCACTCCTTCACATGCAGCTGCTGCTGTGACCTTGGGTCAGTCACAAGTTCTCTCAGAGCAGTGCTCGAAAGAGCTCTCTCAGCCCCACCTACCTCACAGAGTGTCCCTTGTGGGGAGGGGAAGGGAAAGGAGATTGTAAGCCGCTCTGAGACTCCTTCGGGTAGTGAAGGGTCGGGTATAAACCCAATCTCCTCCTCTGCCTCCTCTTCCTCTCCTCCTCCTCCTCTTCCTCTTCTCCTCTCCTCCTTCTTCTTCTTTCCAGGTCTTAATCTGACACTGTGATCACTACACTGCATTGGTGACAGAAAAGGACAGAGCACCCCCTGGTGGTCTACGAAGCATTCGGTCATGACAGCTGGTGTGGTGGTTTGAATCTCAGGCTGAGAGACCCGAGTTCAGATCCCCACTCTGCCATGGAAGTTCAGTAGGTGGCCTTTGGGGGCCAGTCACTCTGTTGTAGTCCGGTCTACCTCACAAGGTTGTTGTTCTGAGGAGAAAATTGGAGGACGGGAGAATGATACAAGCTGCTTTGGGGTGGAGATAATCAGCACAGACAGGCGGAGCGGAAAATCTCCCCATCATTACAGAACAGAGGGGATTTCACAACTTTCCCGGCCTATCAGAGGTATGTGGCCTAGTGGTTAGCGTCTCTGAGGTCCAGGGTTCGAATCCCCTTTGGCATAACTTAGATTGAAACAGAGTATGTTATTTTTAAGCCAGCAGATGGGGGGGGGAGGGAATAGTGATATGGGACAGAAGTGATTCCATTTTGGAGGCATTTAGACAGTTCAGTAGTACCAGTCACTACAAAACGATCCCAGAGAACTCGTCTTGTATGATTAGGGAAAACACTGTGAGTGTTTTCGTTGAATCCCCAACACCGCCATGGAAGCTCACTGGGTGACTTTGGACCAGTCTCTCTCTGTCTTTATAAGCACGGCCTACCTCAGGGGGTTGTTGTTCTGAGATAAAAGGGAAGGGAGCACAGTGTTGCTAAGCCCCTTTGGGGTCCCCATTGGGAAGAAGAAGAAGAAAGAGAAGGGACTGGATATATACCCTGCCCTTCACTACCCAAAGGAGTCTCAGAGCGGCTTACAATCTCCTTTCCCTTCCCCTCCCCACAACAGACACCCTGTGAGGTAGGTGGGGCCGAGAGAGCTCTTTCGAGGACTGCCCTGGAGAGAACAGCTCTGAAAGAACTTGTAACTGACCCAAGGCCACACCAGCGGCTGCATGCAGAGGAATGGGGAATCAAACCCAGCTCTCCCAGAGCAGAGTCCGCACTTGTAACCACTACACCAAACTAGCTCTCTAGAAAAGCGGGACAGAAATTTTCTTAAATAGATAAATAAACAGAGTTGATGGAACAGTGTCCATCTTTCTTTGCAGTGATAAATAAGAGAATGGTTGCTTTGGAGAGCGAGGGGGTTGCGGTGTAGGCAAATGCTTGCCAGGATTAAGGAACTGGTTTCCTCACGTGCAGGTCTTCTGAGGGGCAGCAGGAGAGCATGTTGGACTCTGATCCCGATCCTTGCCGATTTCTGGGCCAGCCACCATCTCTTGGCCTGACCCACTTTTCAAAGCGGTCGATATAAGCTGATGCAAGAAATGCCACGGCTTGGGTGCTTTTCCCCCAGGGCTGTCTGTTGAGGGTGTTTTGTCCCTGTTAGTAGCAGAGGTGGCCTTCTCTGTCATTCCCCTTCCTCGGAGCGTGTCCTTCCCAAAGTGTAATAGCCCTTTGCTAGCTGGAACAGAGAGCTGCTTTGGGAGTCTGCAAGATGAAGGTGTTTTGCTCTCCGGCGTAATAGCTTTCGTTTGCAAGAATACTGTGGGCCTCTGCTGTCTGGCGTGAGGCTAAATTGCCGTCGGCGGTGTGGCCGTCGTAGACGTATTTATCTTTCCTCAGGCAGATCTAGTGCCCGGTTGGAGGGCATCTTTTATTCTCTTCTGAAGGGGGAAGAGTTGACAGCCACTCACTGAATCGCTTATCTGCAAAGGCGCGACAAACAGCTCGGTGTTTTGGGGACACGGTAGAAGTATCTCCGAACCCAGAAGGTCGGACCAGAAGCGGCGGGTTGAAATGAAATCGAAAGAGTTTTCTGCTAACCTTTAGAAAGAACTTCCTGACAGCTAGAAGTGTCCGAGGTAAAATCGGGGAGTTGGAGTGCTTGGTGTCAGAGGGAAAAATAGACATTGTGGGTATTTCTGAAACTTGGTGGGATGAGGAAAATCAGTGGGACACAGTGATTCCCGGTTATATATTATATCGGAAGGATAGGGGGGGAAGGGTTGGAGGTGGGGTAGCTCTGTATGTCAGAGAGGGTATAAAGTCTAGAAAGATTGAGAGGCTAAGTGAATTGGATTCACTTCTGGAAGTTCTATGGGTTGAAATAGGGGGGCCAAAAGGAAACTTAACACTGGGAGTTTGTTATCGCCCACCAGATCAAAAGATAGAGGAGGATTATAAAATGATGAATGCCTTAAAGATAGCAACTAGACAAAAACACTGTGTAATAATAGGTGATTTTAACTACCCACACATTGATTGGGTCAATATGTGTTCTAGTCGGGAAAAAGAGATTGAGTTTCTAGACACTCTAAATGACTGTGCTATGGAGCAGATGGTCACGGAACCTACCAGGGGAGAGGCGATCCTTGATTTGGTCCTAAGTAACACTCAAGACCTGGTGAGAGATGTAAAAGTGATTGCACCGCTTGGAAACAGTGATCATAATGTTGTTGAGTTCATCATTTGTACAAATAGAGAATTGGCCAAAAAGACTCACACAACCATTTTTAACTTTAAAAGGGGTAATTTCTCTGATATGAGGGGACACGTGGGGAGGAAACTGAAAGGAAAAGTAGAAAGGGTCAAAACAATTGGGGAAGCTTGGGATCTATTTAAAACTACGATCCTAGAAGCTCAAAAAATATATATTCCGCAGGTTAGGAAAGGCACAAACAGGTATAGGAAAAAGCCTGCATGGTTAACAAACAGAGTAATGGAGGCTGTAAAAAGTAAAAAGAATTCCTTTAAGCAGTGGAAAGCTAGTCACAGTGAGGCTGATAAAACGGAACACAGGCTATGGCAAATAAAATGCAAGTCTGAGGTCAGGCAGGCAAAAAGGGAATATGAGGAGCATATAGCAAAAAACGTAAAAACCAACAATAAAACTTTCTTCAAATACATTAGAAACAGGAAACCAGCCAGGGAGGCAGTGGGGCCCTTGGACGACCAAGGGGTAAAAGGAGTATTGAAGGATGATAGGGAAATGGCTGAGAAGCTAAATGCATTTTTTGCCTCCGTCTTCACTGTGGAAGATGAGAAGTGCTTGCCCACTCCAGAACCACTGATTTCAGGAGGGGTGTTGAAAGACCTGAGTCAGATTGAGGTGACGAGAGAGGAGGTCCTAAAACTGATAGACAACTTAAAAACTGAAAAATCACCAGGCCCAGATGGCATACATCCGAGAGTTCTGAAAGAACTCAAATGTGAACTTGTAGATCTCCTGACAAAGATATGTAATCTTTCCTTAAAATCTGCCTCCATTCCTGAGGATTGGAAGGTAGCTAATGTCACTCCCATCTTTAAAAAGGGTTCCAGAGGAGATCCGGGAAATTACAGGCCAGTCAGTCTGACGTCGATACCGGGTAAATTGGTGGAAACCATTATTAAGGAAAGAATTAGTAGGCACATAGATGAACAAAACCTATTGAGGCAGACTCAGCACGGTTTCTGTAAGGGAAGATCTTGTCTCACTAACCTGTTAGTGTTCTTTGAGGGGGTGAACAAACATGTGGACAAGGGGGATCCAATAGATATTATTTACCTTGACTTCCAGAAAGCTTTTGATAAAGTTCCTCATCAAAGGCTCCTAAGTAAGCTCAAAAATCATGGGATAGAAGGACAAGTCCTTTTATGGATCAAAAACTGGCTAGTTCATAGAAAACAGAGAGTGAGTGTAGGTGGGCAATTTTCTCAGTGGAGGGTGGTAAGCAGTGGGGTACCGCAGGGATCAGTACTTGGTCCACTGCTTTTTAACTTGTTCATTAATGATTTGGAGATGGGAGTAAGCAGTGAAGTGGCTAAATTTGCGGATGATACAAAGTTGTTCAGGGTGGTGAAAACCAGTGAGGATTGTGAGGCACTCCAAGGGGATCTGTCAAGGATGGGCGAGTGGGCGTCAACATGGCAAATGGGGTTCAATGTGGCCAAGTGCAAGGTGATGCACATTGGAGCCAAAAATCCTAAATATAAATACACATTGATGGGGTCTGAACTGGCAGAGACTGAGCAAGAGAGAGATCTTGGAGTTGTAGTGGATAACTCACTGAAAATGTCGAGACAGTGTGTGACTGCAATAAAGAAGGCCAATGCTATGCTGGGGATTATTAGGAAGGGTATTGAAAACAGATCAGCCAATATAATAATGCCCCTATATAAATCAATGGTGAGACCTCATTTGGAATACTGTGTGCAGTTCTGGGCACCACACCTTAAAAAGGATATTATAGCTTTGGAAAAAGTGCAGAAAAGGGCAACTCGAATGATAAAAGGGTTGGAACACTTTCCCTATGAGGAAAGGTTAAAGCGCTTAGGGCTCTTTAGCTTGGAGAAAAGACGACTGAGGGGTGACATGATCGAGGTTTATAAGATTATGCATGGGAAAGAGCAGGTAAAGAAAGAGGTACTTTTCTCCCTTTCTCACAATACAAGAACTCGTGGGCACTCCATGAAACTGCAGAGCGGTCGGGTTAGAACGGATAAAAGGAAGTACTTCTTCACCCAAAGAGTGATTAACACATGGAATTCACTGCCACAGGAAGTGGTGGGTGCTACAAGCATGGACGGCTTCAAAAGGGAATTAGATAAGCATATGGAGCAGAGGTCCATCAGTGGCTATTAGCCACAAGGTATAGCTAGGGGCTCTGGGGCAAGTGATGCTCTGTCTTCTTGGTGCTTGGGGGGGGGGTCAACAGTGGGAGGGCTTCTAATGTCCTGGCCCCACTGCTGGACCTCCTGATGGCACTGGTATTTCTGGCCACTGTGTGACACAGAGTGTTGGACTGGATGGGCCTTTGGCCTGATCCAACATTGGCGTCTCTTATGTTCTTATGTTCTTAAATGTAGGAGCAGGACCAGGGTACTTTAATCCATCAGGGA